ATATATGTATATATATATATACAAAGTAAAGGTATTATAACAGTAAACAGTAGAGTTACGACTGCTCTCCATTATTTCTGAAATATAATTAATTTAAGCATTCGTTCTCTCATTTAGTCCAGTCGAGTTTAAAATGTCTTCAGACAAGTAAATTGTGAGTGGCATTTGCTTAACAGATAAATTCTTAAAAAGTGCAGAAATGCCTGTGTACTCGTGTAAATACTACATGTGTGCATGCAGGCATATATATCTACGTGTCTACTCATTTTAAATCTTCTGTAACTGAGTGTAAGTCTTATTTTACTATTTTTCATGTACTACTAGATCGTATACATGTGTGCATATCCACATTTCGTATCATCTGTCAATACTCAATGCACATGTGACTTATGCAGGGTGTCAAGTTCATATTTTTCCCTATTTTTTCCTATTTTCTGGGCAATTCTTATTTTCTCCTATTTTCTGGACAAATTCCTATTTTTTCCTATTTTTGAGGGCTTTTCATTTTTCTGAATCCAGAATTGTATGTATCCTTCTCAGAATGCAGAAATTTACAATTCAGGTGACCCAATTTTCAAAAATTTCTTGGGGGAGGACCCCCAGACTCCCACCCCTTACTTTAAATTAACGTAATATACTCTTTACTATCACAGATGTTATTTCAGTAAAGTTGTTTCTCAGTTGGATGTGGTATGTGTATCCAGAGGGGGGGTCCAGGGAGTTCGGACCCCCCCTTTTTTACCCAAAAAAATGGAAAACACATAAAAGATAATTTTCTGCTTAAAAATTTGGAATTCCATCTTGCATTCTAGACATCAAAATTACTGCTCAGATGCTCTCAGAATGCACCAATTTTTAAAATTTTTCTTGGGGGAGGGCTCCCTAACACCCCCCCCCCAAGTGGCAACGTGCCTTAGACACGGTGCATAAGTACCTTTTTATTAAAAGTGCCCTTTATTTCTTACTGGACCCCCCCCCCTTTTTTCAAAAAGCCGTATCCGCCCATGTATATACATGTACGTCATACTATTTTGGAGTAGTCTACATGTGTGGGTGCTTATGCATGTATAAACTGCTTATCAATTTTAACATGCATTTCTAATTAAAACCTCAAAATATTGTTCGCATGTGATGTGTATATTAATAAAACCATTTGTGGTGGATCGGGATGGCTGTAGGGGTGTTGAGAGACCATCTAACGCAACAAATATTCCTATTTAACATATATTTTCTCACCAAAATTCCTATTTTCTTCCTATTTTTTCACATCTGAAATTCCTATTTTCCTATTTTTTGAGTGTCACTTGTCACTTGACGCCCTGCTTATGTATTCTGGCTAACTTATAAATCCTAGTTGTGTATAATGGCAGAATTTTGTTGGAGTTCCAGCCTCCACTGATATTTAAGTCAAGCCCTTTCCCAAGGTGGAAAAACAGCAGGCTTCATACAGTTTATATAAAACCTACATATATATGCTAGTTTCAATGTGTGCATGCAACTGTGAAATTCAGCCGTCTTTGATTTGGCTTTCGTAAAGAAACGAACATAATTTTATTACCAACGTTCTTTCTTCCTTTTTCTAATTTTTCACATATTTCCTGAAAATACTCATATAATTCTTTTAAAGAACGTGTGAGCATGGAAATGATTTTATTGACAGATTTCTATTTAAAGTAGAGAATTTAGGTTTAATTGGCATTTTAGCACTGCACGTAGAAACAGCTAGAATGTCGCAGTTTACACGGTTTCAACCTTTCTATGTCTTCTTGTGTTCTTCGTCCTGCTGGTCTGTCTGGATGAAAAACGCTTGCAAATCATAAAGTGTTTTTTTAAAGCTGAGTAAGTCTGCATGATGTGCTCACATTCAAAGTGTGTCCAAGGAAATTCGCAGTGACAGTGAAATATTTCTGTCTAATGTTAATACAAGTATATCTGCATTAGCCGTCTACAGTTCGTGCAGCTGGTTGTCTGGCAGGGTTCCTTTATTTTATATTTTGACTCTAGATACTGGTGTACGCAGTCGTCTAGACATGTTTTCACAGTAGACTGGTTGTTGCAATATAAATTGATATCGTTATTGATCACAAGGCTGCTGCCTACTCAATATATAAGATTTCGTAAAAGCTGTACATGTCTATTGGTGGTATATATATATATACGATATCCAGCAGCTATATCTGCTAGTGATGTTGATCGTGCCAAAAAGCAAAGCAGGAATGAAGGTCACATTGGAAGCTATGTGATGTATTTAAGCTCGCTGTTTTGCACATCTATCTGCATATATATATATATACACTGTGCGCGTCCATTTAATAACCTTGAACGTGTTCATGCACTGCCACTGTGAAATAATTTTTAAGTAACAAGGTCTGGTGATGGGTTAAACTTGACTATTTGGGCAGGGCATTTACTGGTTTGTACTATTGTAGCTGCATGCTTTCTCGTTTGAAGTGGAACTGCTTATTCATAATAGATTCACTGAATGATTATTTCGAAGCCTAATCATTGTATAAAATTCAGTTGACCAATTACAAATAAAAGAAATTGAATGATATTATATGTCACGCAAACTTAACATGTTGCCATTAATACTTGATCAGAGAATGAAGTAATTTGCATCTGTTGTCAGGTGCAGTTGCAGTTAACTATCGAATACATGATACGAGGCCCTCCGGTTTTCATATATTTAGTAATTTACCCAGTTACCTAATGATGTACAATGGGTGGGGTGAAGTGACAATAAATTTATTTTCTGGAATGACATTATCTCTGGGTTTGACTTTGAGGCAAATGTAAATTTTCGCAATGGCCTGGATTTGGCTTAAGTTACTGATGTACGTTCATGTCTTACATAGACTGTCATAGTGTTTACTGTTTAGGCATGAACCGCATCTTGCGTGAGTGTGGGCGGGGACATGAGGGTAGATGGCTGGCATGTAGTGATCAGGCTGACATACACATACTGGAGCTGAGAGGGTCTATGTCCCCCAGGGTACTGCCGGAACGTACCCTGGTACTATCTAATATGCCGGACCGTACCCTGGTACTATCTAATATGCCGGAACGTACCCTGGTACTATCTAATATGCCGGACCGTATCTCGCCTACTCCACTAACTAGTCTAGGGAGTCGCCTACGCCTACTCCCTAATTCTAACCCTAACCCTAACCATATCAGATAGTTACCAGGGTACGTTCCGCCAGTACCCTGGGGGACATAGACCCTATGAGCCATACTGGATGACTGTAACGATATGAGCACGCTGATGTATGTTGAAACAGTGTCGGCAATCCGCCGGTACTACGACCACCTGGCGGCTTCACCTCACTGATCACGTCTTCTTTGCAGTGTTCGTGCAAAACTTCACGAGTCTTGAGGGGGTGATTGCGACCAACTCTTCGGCCCACGAGCGCCTGGGCCACACGCGCTGCGAATTCCTGCTGCAGACGCCGCGCGCCGATCCGGCCAGCGCGTACGACGTGCTGCTCAACTTCACACAGATGGAGGGGTTCTACCCCCACACCGACCACGGCGAGTTGTTACTGTGCAGTGCCCAGGTGGAGCTGTGGACGGTCAGCCGCGCCGTGCAGTCACTGTCCTCCGTCATAGCACGTCTATGTCCCGATCACACGAACTACACCGGCGACTTCAAGATGGCCCACGTCTTTCATGTGTACAAGTGTAGTGCGGTGCGCGTCGTGTACTCGTGGCTACCCGGTGCTCAGCAGCCAAGCGGATTCGTGCTGCACTACAGGTTTCACCGTCTGCAAGGTAAGAGCTCACTTTTACTTTCGGAGGTACTTTCTTCCCGTGAAGTTCCAGTGGGGTTCCATTAAAGTATTGCATTAATATTAAATGTTACAGTTGACGATGGAAGAAAGAGGGAGAGAGATAGGGAAAGCAAGAGAGAGTGAGTGAGTGAGTGAGTGTGTGTGTGAGAGTGCGAGAGTGAGTGAGTGAGTGAGTGAGTGAGTGAGTGAGAGAGAGAGAGAGAGAGAGA